AGGGAGGGAGGGAGGGGGAGGGAGAGGGAGAGGGAGAGGGAGAGGGAAAAGGAGAAGGAGAGGGAGAGGGAGAAGGAGAAGGAGAGGGAGAGGGAGAGGGATTGATTGATTGATTGCTTTATTTTATGCCATAGTCTGGACTTTAGGCAAAATCAAGATTACAAAAAGAAGTAACTTAATACTAAATAACTTAATACTAAAAAAACTTAATACTAAAAATAATAAAAATAAAAAAAAGGAATAGAAAGCACTTAAAAACTAAAGAAAAACTAAAACTAATATAACAAAATAATAAACATAATAGTGGAAAATAACTTGAAGACTAAAGGATGACTAAAACTAATATAACGAAATAACAGAATTGAGTAGAAGTAAGCAGACACTCGAAAACCGACCATGCGTAACAGGCAGGGCAAGACTTAGACTAAACGCGCTCGAGGGAGAAAAGATGGCTGTAAAGCTTGCTCTTGAAAAGACGACGCCGATTTCACTTCGCTGGGAAGCGAGTTCCACAAGTAAACGCCAGCGAGATGAAAGGACTTGTGGTACGCTTCGGTTCTGTGGATAGGAACATAGAAAGATTGAGGTTGCGCCAGACGCGAAGATCGCCTGACTGAGGGGTCAGGATCAGAGAAAATCTCAGAGATGTAGCTAGGGGACAAATTATGATACACCCTGAACATATCTATTCCTAGAAAATAGAGGCGTCGGTGTTTGACGGAGAGCCACCCAAGTTGGTGACGATAAGGCGTGATGTGCTCGTCGCGCTTAAAGTTGAAGATAAATCGGATCGCACAGTTTACAAGACGCTGAAGCTTGGTATTGAGCTCCTCAGTCAAATCGTTGTAGACCAAAGAACAGTAGTCCAAGAGTGGCCAGATAAGAGTAGTCACAAGCTTTATGCGAAGATTAAGTGATAAGGAGTTCTTGTGAAATTTTAATTTGTGCAGAGTGAAGTGTACCCTCTTGGAAATATGAGAGACGTGGCTTACCCAGGATAAGTCGGAGCGCACAATAACCCCTAGGTTACGCGTCTCGGTAACAAATGGGATAGAAGTACCGTTAACTGAAATGAGAGGTAGGTCACTGAGATTCAGCTGCTTAACATGGTTATTGCTTCCAAAAATCAAGACTTTAGACTTCTTGAGATTGAGTGTCAAGCCATTGGTCGCAGCAAATTTCGAAATGACGCCCACATCATAAGCAACGAGCTGCAAGGCAGAATTCAGTTGGCTAAGGAGACTCCTACGGTAGATCTGCGTATCGTCAGCAAATATAATGCGCTCCGTGAACCTGAGGAAGGCACCAATATCGTTTATGAATAACGAGAAAAGAAGAGGGACAGAACCCTGCGGGACCCCCGCGGTGACAGATAGCCAATGAGAGAACACACCCTCAAGGTCAACAACAGCCTGGGTACGTCCTGTGAGATAGGAAAAAATCAACTTGAGGGCAGAATCAGAGAACCCCAACCGCCTGAGTTTGGTTAAAAGTAGAAGGTGACAGACTGTGTCGAAGGCTTTGCTGAAGTCGAAGAGGACGAGGATCAACACTTCGCCAAGATCAACACCTAGCTTAATATCGTGGAATAATCGCAGAAGGGCGGACTGGGTGGAGTAACCCTTGCGGTAGCCAGATTGTCGACAATCAAGAATGCGGTGGGTTTCAATAAAGTCAGTGATCTGGCAATGTAAGATCTTTTCGAACACTTTGGAGAGCTCACATAGGTTGGCTATGGGCCTCGTGTCGGAAGGGGAGGCGGGAGACTTGATTTTAGACAACGGGCGTAATATGGCTCGCTTCCACAGCGACGGGAAGTAGCTGAGGTTCAGGCAACAATTAAAGAATGAGGTGAGGAGATTACCCACATGTGGCAGGGCCAATGCTATGGCATACAATGGTAGGTGATCGCAACCCGAGGCAAGAGAGACGGAAGATGAAGAGACGAAGGAGCATAAATCATCGACGTGTTGCGGCCCCAATCAAAATGTAATAATAAAATAATTATATTATAGTATAAAATAATAATATTAAGAAAGACCGAGAATAACAATAGGGAACGCGACCGCGAAAGCCCGAGAGAATTACGCAACGCCGAATCAGCAAAAGATGAGTTGCGCGATCGGCCCAGATACGATCGAGCAACTCAGCGATATCGAAGGACAAGACGAGGATTGAAAAGGAAGCGACAACAGGAGAGGAGAGGGCAATTGGAGTCTCGAAGCGACGGGCGTTTCACGCGAGTAATCATTGTACGCAAAGTGGATTAATTAAAGTTGTCATTTATTGCAAAGTGTTGTTAATAAATCCCGCCTCCTCCGTGGATAAACGATCCCTGGTGTCCCGCCGTAAAAAGAGGGCACAACAGACGGATATCTGAGAAAAACTGAATGAAGGAGTGTCAGGCACTATGGATGAAATGATGTCGGAAAATTGAGATTGTGTACAAGAGGGAAAGCAATTGGAGATGGAAGCATAATGAGCATTCAGAGTGTCACGAGAAAAGTAATTTAGCGGTGAGGATAAAGGTGATTCAATGAGGCCGAGATTAGTGAGCTCACGCCATAGTTTGGAAGGCTGGGAAATCGCGGATAATCTCGCCATATTGAAGTGCTCTCTGGCCTTCCTCATATCTACTGTAAGATTATTCCTATATAGCCTATAAATATGAAAATCAAGAACACCGCCAGATCTTCTGGCGATATTGTATAGACGGTTGCGGTGCCGAATTCGACGAGCGAGAGCGTCGGTGAGCCAAGGTGCTGAGGGACGATTCACCCGAAAAGTGCGGACGAGAGCATACCTGTCAAGACTAGAAGTAAAATCTTTAGTTATCGTACTTAGAATGCTGTCTAAGTCAGGCTCGCCGAGGCTCATCTGGCCAAAGTCAACCGCGAAGGATGAAGACAACATGGATGTGAGAGTCTCAACAAAACCATGCTCACTGAATTCCCTGTAACTGCGACGAGTCAACGTACGGTCAGCAGGAGAGGGAACAGCAAATGAATACGTGAGCTCAATTAGGTCGTGACCATTGATAAAGGGTGCATCCGATTTTCGAAACGAAGAGACCTTGTCCAAGCTATCCACAATAAAAACGTCCAACCATGAGTCAGAAGAGCTAGTGTGATAAGTCGAATGTGACTCAACAATGTTGAGCGACAATTGGGAGACTATGTCTCTGAGGTGATTGGATTCGTATGACGAGGAAAGGAGATTGCAATTTAGATCGCCAGAGATAATAATATTCTTATAACTATGCATGGTCGAAGTAAGAGCATCTACATACTTACTGAAATTTCTTCCACCCGGTCTACGGTACATCGAGGTGAACAGAAGAGGCTCGCAAGCATCACCACGAATATCGAGTAGAAGAAACTCAGGCTCATTGGAGAAGGACGAAGGCGACGATGCCAACACGCGAGCACGCAGCGAGTCATGGATGAAGCAAGCAACACCTCCTCCCTCCCTGCCCTCCCTGTCCACTCGTAACAGACAGTAGCGTGGGATGCGAACCAAGTCGTCAGAGATATGAGAGTGTAACCAGGTTTCAGAGATCGAGATTATGTGAAAAAAGTTTGACATTAAAAGAGCACGGATCGACTCGATGTGGGCAGGGAGGGAGCAGGCATTGAAGCACGCGATCCGAAGACGACTACGCGAAGCAGGAGGAATCGCAGATGCAGTCGTGAGTCACTGGAGCCTGTCTAGATCAGCCTCGGAGGCGATAGGAATCGGCGGTTGACTACGGTCCCTGCGGACGAAAACACGCCCGCCGCTACTCCACACGTGCCCGAACGACAGCTGCTTCGCCCTGACTCGCGCTTGGCGCAAAAGCTTATAAGTGTGACTCGGGAGTAATTCATTTACGTATATGTTACCAGGACTGGTGGTTGAGAAAGCGTCGCTAATAGGCAGTCGGCGCCTGCCGCGCATGACCTTGATAATATGGTCGCGGACCTCACGCGACTTAAGCGCGACAATGATCGATTTGCGCCGATCCCGAATGTCAGCACGATCGACGGCAGGGGCGGACGCAGACGCAACATCGTGATCCGATGACGCCACACGCGCAGCAACATCGCGAGTCTCTAGAACGTCGGAAGTAAGCTGGGGGATTCCCAGCGCTCTAAAAACACACGCAACAAGCTCACTAGATGACTCGGTGAAAGAGGACGGGATGCCGGAGATTATTAAATCCGACGTTCGAGAGACACGCAACGCAGCAGACGACTCGTTCTCGGTCTCCTCGCTGGCACGAGGGACAAGCTGAGCGGCCTTTAGAGCTTGGACATCGCGCGCCAGAGCGGAGCTCTCCTGCTCGAGCTTGTCAATGCGCTCGGTGTTAAGAACGACGGTGTCCGCGATGAGACTAAGCCTATTCAACTTGTCACTAATCTCCCTATTAGTACGACGCTGTTCATCGACAAAAGCAGAGAGTTTAGCATCGGAATCCTTTAATTGCTCACACAGTTTCTGGAACATGACGCCGATCGAAGCGAGCTCCTGAGATTGCACCCGAGTCTGTACCTGAGTCTGCACCTGAACACATGATGATCCACCCGAGAAATCGAAAGCATGCACGTCAATGGCCGGTGAAGGGGGGAGGGGTCTAGCGTAGCCGATAGAGATTTGCAGCAAGTATCTGCATGTTTCGTTGCAGCGTAGGG